AACCAGAGAACTAATTAAGTGCTTTACTTGTCCCCCGAAGTCAGTCTGGGGCTTCTTGATTTTTGTTTTTCAAAAAAAAAGGAATATAGAGATGTCCCATGTCCATGCAGTCAATGAAACCTTAAATTGATGACTTAGAAAATGAGATTCACCCAAATCCTTGGAAATCAACCCGAGCTCAACCATTGCAAAGGCAGCATGACACTGATAAGGCATTTATAATTCAGGGGCAGTCTTTACTTTCCAAAAGCGTACACTTATGTATAAAAATATATGTTAGAGCAATTGGGTAAATCCCATACCATGTGGCACTGTGCCCCCAAAACAACTGCTGACAAAGGCAGGACTGCAAAATGTATGTAGAGTTTCAGGATGGACTTTCAGGAAAGGAGGGTGGTAGTGGTAGTGATAGGCATATTACCCATGCAAGCTTAATTCTGGGGTATGGGAAGCCATGGCTTTGGTAAGGCATGTCATTTCCTTTGCTCATCAGGCCACATCAGCAGATATGATCCTTGTCTCTAACAAAATCATTACCTGGGAAAATTAAAAGTGGTCTCTGCCCCCTACACACCTATTTGACATTGTAACTTGGCAAAGCCAACGTATTAAGTTACTGGTTCATACTCATTTCATGGAAAACACTGTAATTGTTGCAAAGTGCCTTTGCCACAAGTAGAAAGTAGTCATTGGCTCTGCACATTTTCCACTAGCCTTTCCTTCTGGCATGAGATACTGAATGAAAAATAAACGAACTCACTCTCCTTTACTGCTGGATAAGCATTCTTCAATGTGATCCCCTTTGGTGACTGGGAGCAGGGCAATATGCAAAGTTGTATCCTTGTTTTTCTCTTACAACTTGATAACAACTAATTCATCAGGAAAACCCAAGCTCCCAAATGTAAATTTCATGGGCTTTTAACACTGCCAGCCCATTGTCAATAGCAATTCCTGAAGAAAGCAACCTAGACAACTGAAATGCCACAGATAACTCCACAAGGGTGCTGATGTTAGGGTTAAAGAACCTTGAGTTGCATCCTGGCTCCACCACTTACTCTCTGTCTGACTTTGGGCAAATCACTTAATTTCTCTGAGCCTCAGTTTCCTTATCTATAAAATACAATGTTTGGACCAGGTAACTTCTAAGGTTCCTTACAGTTCCAGATACTATAAATGCATAAACAAAGTGGAGACTGAGGCTGCATTTTCAGTCCTTGGTAACCTATAGAACATAGAACCAGGCTTAAAAGCCAGTGCTTACATGAAACAGCCTTTATTGATGAAGTGATCATAGTCCCATAGGTAGCACAGCAGAAAGGATGCCAAGCCTGGAGTCAGAAGGACTCATTTTTCTGAGTTCAAATCCAGCCTCAGACATTTACTAGTTGTATGACTCTGGGCAAGTCATATAACCCTGTTTGCCTCAGTTTTCTCACCTACAAAATGAGCTGGAGAAGGAAATGGCAAACCACTCCAGTCTCTTTGCCAAGAAAACCCCAAATGGGGTCACAAAGAGTCAGACATGACTGAAATGACTCAACAACAAAATCATAGTTCCCAAGCTCTCTCCATTGTCAGCAGGAGGTGAACGTGGCCTCTATAGAGGTCCCTATCAAATGTTCTTGCTGATTCTCAGGAGGTAGGCTGCCACCCAAAAACTACCCCTTCTGAGTCTGTCTATCTCAAAGAAAGCCATTCAAGATTTAGCATTCAAGACAAAGTAGGAAAGTAGGAGAAGACAAGGAGAAAATGGAATCTATCAAGTTTACAGAATAGGGGAAGGGAAAAAAAAATGCTGTGTGCTATATAGGAAGACTAGAAGAGGTCACTCACTTTACCAAATCCAGCATCAACTCCACTGCTCAGGCACAGAGGTGGTCTCTGCCCCCTACACACCTATTTGACATTGAACATAGGTTGGCAGACATTGGGGGACAGAGCCTGAGGAAATCCCTGCTTCAAATATATAACACTCCATGGAAAAGATAAATAACTGATTTTTTTCCTATTCAAAACTAAATGATCAGACACCATGGTGGAGTAAGTACTTTTCCTTTGTGTGCTGGGACATTGATTCTTATTTCTATTCTCCTCTACTGCCAGAGATAAGAGTGGGATTACAGAAAATAATTTTCCCATACTCAACTCATGCTGAGCTAATTATCTAGCTTGGGAGTTATCTAGGTTCTTTGCTTTTCCTCTTGAAAAAAAATTGCTTTTTAGGCTTTTCCTTACTCTGTAAGTGGGTAGGAAAAAAATGGAAAATAATATATTTTGGTGTAGTCTATTTAACTCCATATCATAGAGCCAAAGATCTGGGAGGGATGTTATAGGACTTGTTACTCATCCTCACAAAATGCTTTGATGGAAGAGTGTTGGACCTATGGGATTCTTTGATTACTTCTAGATTTCAATTACTTTTGCAATTCTGGTCTTCTGCCTCTAAGAATAGTTAAATTGGCTAAACACTGAATGAAAACCTTTGTAAGACAGGGAGAAGTGGAAGCTCCCTGAAGGCAGGTCCCTGTCTGATACTTATTCTATATTCTCCTACAGATTCTCCTACAGTGCTAGGCACACAGAAGGCAGCTCAAGAGACTTTTACTGGTTTACTGATTACATTTTAACATAAACCTGTTTTGCCTTTCATGTTAAAACCCATCAATGCAATTTGGTTTTATTTCATTTCTCATTTTATTAGAGATCCTCAGCATTTTGATCTAAAGGTTCCTAGGCCTTATTTGAAAGGTATTATGACAATGGCTAGTTACATATTTGAAACTGCCAGGGGTGAAAAAGGGCAGGTGCAGGCAAGCAGAAGCTATTTCAGGATATTCTGGCTCTGTCAGAATGTAAGACATTCAGGAAGTTCTGGGGAAGTAATTTGAATTGCTTTTCTTCCAGAAGTATATGATCCCTGATGTCAGATTGTGTGTGAAAGAAGTAATTAGATGCATTAAGTTATAAATCTCACTATATGTGTGTCACATGCATCTTTCTCCTTTCTCTTTGTTTATATATGTATGCATATACATATAAAAACATAGAACCAGTATGAATTTTCAGAATGTGAACTGGGAACTCCAGGCTGCTAATGGTATGAAAGTATTTTGCAAAACATTTTCCACAGATCATCATTTGTATGAGATCTTAGGGGCTGAAGGCTTCCATCATTTCTGGATATAGAAGCCCCAACCCCAAGGTTAAGCATAGGAGCAGATGATTTAGAGTTGTAAGTGACAAGGTCTCAGTGTTCTATAACACAATGCATGGGAGGATCCTAAAACGTCCCCACCTTGCTTCTAACCTGTGAGCTCAGCCCACTCTGCTTCCAGACAGCCCTAGAACTGCATGAATTTTTTATGTTCACCAGAATGGATGGGGAAGGAAAGCACAGGCTATTTCTTGACTGACTCATTAAACAATCATTGGTTCATTCAGTCTTCAGAGACTTCAAAGAGAACACATATATTTCTGCATAAGACTTAACTAAGTGTTGTTTTTTCTATCAGATGGTAACCTTTTTGTCTTCACCATTTGATGAATTAATATATTTCTTTCATTCTTCCACATCGGGAATGCAAATGGGAATGGGGATTAGATATGCCTCAATAACTAGAATGTGAAATGCTGAAATAATTTGATTCCTTTCTTATGTCAAAAGGCAAAAACCAAAATCTCTATTAATAAAAACAATCCTGAAGGAAAAAAAAAAGCTTAAAAGTAGGGGAGACAATCACTTGTAAGTGATTTTCTATTGCTCCAGATATTAATTACATATAGTGCATAATTTGATGATGAAAAATGGAGCAATTTTACAGGAATACTGTGGCTTGGAGAATGAGAAAAATCCCTTCCAGGGGTGAGGCAGCAGAGGCTAAATCATTTTGAGTAACAAGAATTCATTTCAACTTGATGAGCTGACTCTCAAGGCCATCTTTGTGATAAAAACTGATGGAGACACTTTCCTCTTAGGATTGATAATCCTTATTCTTAAAGCTTGAGTATTTAGAGTGGATTTGTATGGAAAATGGTAACATCAGACCAGAGAATCATGGTCAAGTTCACAGCTTAAAGTACCATTCACTTCTCTTGAAATGTTCATTGAAAGGGTCCCCAATGACCCTGACAACCCAAGCTCTAACGATCGTATTTTCAGGAAGGCCTTTTGATTGATGCAGTATCAGTGACATCACTCAGTGCTTTCTAGTTTACAGAAAGGAGCTGTCTGTGCTCAGCACAGAGATATTCCTTTGGGAATCCTATTGATAGATAGAGGCAAGAAATTCTCTTACTATAAACTATAAACATGAGAAATAGCAAAAATTCTCACTGTGGACAAATTAGGATCCGACAGAGTTATGAGAATCCCAAGTGGCTTACAGTTGTCACTTATGTTAGGAAATGGGATAACTGATACGAAAAAGAAAATTCCTTATCCTATGTCAGACGATCAAACTCTAGAAGTTTCTTTCTGAGGTAACTTTAGTGGAGATTTCTAGTTGGTTACCACTGAAATCTTAGTCTTGGTCATACGATCAGTGAAAAACCAGGAACATAGGAATATGCAATAATGTAGTTTCTATCCCACTGAATGTGAATTATCAATTTGCACGAACATTTCTGAGCTCAGGGAATGCAGAATCCACCACCACGGCTATGTTTCCCAGTGGACTGTCTTCTTTCCCATTCCCTTCCCCCCAACCCACCTCCCTTCCCCCCCCTCCCCACTTTGGTCTCACATGACAGACACAAGGTAAAAATGAATCTACCAGAACAGGAAATTCACTTCACACAGCACAAAATATACAAATGGCACTAAGATGTATACACATTCAGATTTAGTTGTTTTGAGCTAGGCAAAGGAAAAGGCTCTTGGGCTTCATCTGGCCCATGTTAACGGCTTTTGCTTCTCATCTTTAAAATGAGCTAAAACAGCATGGCAGATAGCAAAAAGAAACTGAATCTCTGCTCTTTCCCACCCCCACCCCCCTTGCTGAACAGAAGTTTAGAAAGCAGTATGTTAACATGGTTTTTACTGTCCTGGTAGTAGGTCTTAGCACTGGGTGTTACCTGACCTCTCCCTTGGGTGTTGACTAAATTTATCACTGATTGTTTTTTAAAAAATACCCAAAGTATCTATTCAGAGGTGGCTCACATTCCAATGTGAAGAACCCTTCAAAACTCACTTCTGAGGCAAAATAAAATAAGATGAAATTAAAAAAAAATATTTCTATCACTCCCCAGAGTACCATATCTGATAGCCATCGAGAAGCCCAGGCACTAGTGATGAAGATTACACGTGAACACTAAGATGAGGGAATTTCTACTGGAATACAAGAAATTAGATCTTTTTCTTGGTGGGTCATATGGTGGCAAAACATTGACAAAGCCAGGCCCCAAGCACAATGGAGATGGTTTCACAGAATGGTGCTGGGTAGAGGGAGATTTCTTCTTCTTTTTATTGTTTTTCCTCTTGAATGTTACTCAGAAAATGGTGGGAACATGCCTAAATCAGCAAAGTCTTCAATATTATAATTGCCTGTTCCCTGGGTTGGGTCTCCTGGCATCGGTAGCATGTCCTGCAGGAGAAGGGAAAAAAGCCAAGGAGAAAGCTGGGTTACTTGGTAAAGAACTGGGCAGATCCCAGGAGGCCAGCCTGCCAGATATGCTCAGGTTCATTTTTCTAAGTGGCACAACCTGGAATTGCTCCACAAACCTCTGAAAAATTCAGATCAGACTATGGTTTTCTATGGATTGCTATGGATTCTCCTTCCAGAGTGGAAAAGTGGAAACACTTTTCATTTAAGAGCATCACTATGGATAGATATATACAACTAGTCTACAAGAACAGGTTCAATTTTAAGTTGAGAGGAAGGCACAAAATTCAAGGTAGTCTGTGTATATTGTATATTGTGGACCCTCACAAAGCAACAGACATGTAAAGTGGAAAGGGCTAGGAGAAGATTATAGGATACAATCTATGTTTTATTTATGTGAAAAATAATGATTACACTGGGCAAATTCTGCTTCCAGCTTTATTGTATTTAGTTTCAAATAAATCAGTTAACTTCTCTGTGCCTCAGTTTACCCATGTAGAAAATGGGGACAGAAACATGTATATTCTTCACAGGGCTGTGGTAAGATTTAATGTTGGTCAAGTGCTTCGAGATCCATTGGAGGAGGGTAAGGAATTACCTTGGAAGCACAATGGATCACCCCCTTTGATAGCTAAGGAAATGCTCACAAAAGACCTGATATGATAGCTGGATACTCTGTACATGTAAGATGAAACTGCTGCCTTTTCATGATAGTAAAAGCAACTGTAGCCATAAACATTCATCTGTAGGGACACTGAGTAGCATAGCTGATAATGGAAAAGGTAACCTGAGTAGCTGACAGAGGAAGGGATACAGTTCTGTAAACCCATGGCCTCATCAGTATGCAAATCATTTCACCACAGTCTATAAAAGATTAAAAAAGGAGCGAGAATAAGAGATCTGGATAGGTAGGATGCCCCAACTCAAAGGATTTTTTTCATTTTTACTGCTGTAGATGGTATTGATGAGGACAGGGTATATTATCCAGCTAAGGCCAGACCATGCCAAAAAGGAGACTAAGAGATGAAATGGGTAATGAAAAGGCTTGGTCCTAATATTAGGGATGGCAGGGTAGGGATGAGTGCTATTTGTACTGCTTAGGAAAAGACACAAAGTTCATCTTACCTGCTTGAACCTTCTGGAGTTGCTTTTTTTTTGTTTTGTTTTTTTGTTTTTTGTTTTTTTTGGTTGTTGTTGTTTTTGTAAGCAGATTCATTGGAATAAGAAAGGAGAGATCACCATTTAGCTGGGTTATACTGCAAGATGGTGAGACAACATCCAGAAAGCCAGGTCAAGTCCACCTTGGGCACAAGTGATGGGGCAGCCAACATCATAGCAGAGAGTAAAACATCCCATGGAAAAGATGACTCAGTGACAAACTAATCAGACTGCAGTATGATTAACGTGATTAGAAAAAAAGCAAAAGACTGGGTGGGGCTAGAAGTCTTCATCTCTAGTGAAGAGAGAAGAAATGTGAGCTCCTCCCAGGGTGGACGGGTCCTAGCTGCTGGAGGTGATTAAAGCTCGAAGAAGCCTGCAGAAGTCACGCAAGATTGTAGATTACTGTACATGGGGTATAATTGACATTTATTTTCACATGTAAGAATTTTACTTTGTCATATTGGTAACTTCTGAGATTCTGAACATATTCTCAGTCATAACAAATATTTATTAAGGATCTACCACGTTCAGGGTGCTGGGGACATATGAAGTTTAGATAAGATACCACCCTTACCCTCATGAAACTCATAGAAACTAGATGCATTTCCTCTTTTGACACTGAATAGGTTTAAAGGTTTATTCTGTTATAGCAATGTTTAATGAATTCATGTTAAGTACAAAAATAGCTGGAGATTTGTTTCCTCTACCTTCGGAATTCTAGAACTCTCCCCTCCCCCTCCAATTCCCTTTTAATCAAAGGGCAGAGCTATGGTCTTGTACCAGGACAAGGAAAAACTTGAATGCTGCGGCAGGGAAAAAGGTAATAGGAAGCAGATAAAAGTATTCGGTACCTATGAGAAGGTACTCTATTTACCTGGAATACTTCAGTCTGATTGGGCTGCTGATGTGAATGTTGGTCACTGCTCTGCTGATTATGATGCTGGTTTTGCCACTGCGACCAGACCTCTGAAGGCCTCCCTTGAAACTGCCCGCTACTTTGTCCACTTTCAGCTGAAAGATTCCGATGCAGGACAGTTTCTTTAAAATGGATACTAAAGATCTGAGATCTCTAAGAACTACTTCAGCTCTAGTGTCTCTGACAAATCTGAAAAAAATAGTTCACCTAGAATTCAGCTTATATACTTGCCACATAAAGGAGATCTCTTTCTCTCTGGTATAAAAAAAAAAAAGATGATGAAATTGAGCACTCAGGTGGCAGATGGGCTGGGGAGAAAGAGAAACCCTCTATGCATTCATGTTCGTGTGATGAGATAAGGCAATGCTTCCTCCCAGTGCCCTGTTATATTCCTGCTCTGGAGACCACCTATCAGTCTAATAGAATGACTTCAATCTTGGTTGCCCATTGATCATTTGCTGTGACACCTAACAGGCATGTTCATTAGTACTGTTTGTGGCAATGTATTTATCATTAGTCGTGAAAAAGTCACTTTCAAACTGGATCCCCAGATATCCCCAGAGTTGTAAGTATCCTCGACCAGAGCTGGATTTTTGGGCTATGACTGAGAAACAAAATGAACCACAGACCACACTGTCTCCTGAATCAGCTGTTACTTCATAGGTAAGTCTGTCCTGCCAAGGTAACAATTTCCCTATACCTTTTTAAAGAGAGTTAATATGAGCAAAATCAATTCCAGTAGCATTTCTTTGTTTCTCATAGTGGATGGAACTATCTACTATGTTATGCAATGTCCCCTCTACAAAGACCCACTCAGTAAATTTATCCTTGAGCTTGGTCCCAGGAGAGTTTGTTTTTGTAAATGGCTTTGTAATGAGTTTCTCTTGTCCATCAGTGAGAATGATGTAACCTGCTTTTCCCTTTCTGCCTTAGCTTCCAGGAAGTTTAGAGACAAATTTGATATCCAAATATAGGAAATACCTTTTTCTCTAATGTAATGCCTCATAACATCTTAACTTACTTCCTATGATCCTCTTGGATAATCCTTTTTTAAAAAATTCTTAATATTTTTATTCAATTCAATATTTTTTTTCTAAACAGTCTCAGATCTTTTTGGTAGCAAATGAGGCATAAATAAATATAGCATTTATCTGATCCAGCACTGATTTGTTGGAATATAGGGGAGAAATTTTGCCATTACACAGACCACAAGGTCATGCTTACAAATTATAAGGAGCAAGTGAACCTTTTAAGGTCATTTGAAAGCAAATCTGCTGATTCAAGGTAAATCAGCTCTTGTATTATTTTTTAAAGAATACCTGATGGAGAAGTAGTACAATAAAAATTTTAGGTAAACTTTTTTTTCTTTTAAATTCCACCTGGAACTGTTAGTTTATTTTCAAACTTTCAACTACATCAAAAAGAATCACGACTTTTTTTCTCCCAGTTCAAAACATCATAATAATGGTTTCTAGACATTAGGCTGTCTCTTTGTAGGCACACATCAGCCAAATGCATCCATTGCATTGCTCCAATTGATGTCAATAAGCAATGTATACAATATCTGAATCATGGACATTGTCAGTTTTGGATAAGGATGGAAAATGTTCAGGAAAAAAGAAATACACAATCATATTTTGATAAACCAACATTAACTATAGGAACTTTTTTGATTTCTTACTTAGCCTATCACTGGTATTTATGGATTACTAAAAGCATTCTAAAAATCAAGAGAGGCTATACTTCATCTAGACCAATTTATGGCCATTCACTTGCCCTAATACAACAGAACTTTACCATCATTTATGCAAAGTGATTTTCACTAAAGAGTGTATGGTAAGCGTTAATGATTTTTCCCACAATACTATCTCATGTCCATAAACCTTGCTCACTCTTTCAGACAACTAAATTATTTCGAAAGGCGTGGTTCTGATTCTCCCCCAATTAGGCCTGGTCATACTGGGGGAGGGGGAGATAAAGCACACCATTTAGTGTGAATAATATCCTGAAGTAGAATTATTATTTGAATTCCCACTGCATTTATCTACTGGGCTGGAATCAGTGACCATATTTAACACAGTTATAATTTGAAATAGTGAGAATTTGAATACATGTGAACACTTCACAGAGTTCATTATTTCCACTAATCAGGAACTAAATATGGCAAAATCAGCTCCCCTGTTGCTGTTGGCTAGTGGGATGGAGTTATGCCATGGCAAACAGCATTTCATTATTATGGAGTTTGAAGATGTTCCCAGAATTCTGGATGCCCCAACCTGTATCTTCGTTGTTCAGGTGTTTTAGTCATGTCCAACTCTTTGTGACTCCATTTGGGATTTTCTTGCCAAAGCTACTGGAGTGCTTTGCCATTTTCTTCTCCAGTGCATTTTACAGATGAAGAACTAAGGCAAGTGACTTGCCCAGGTCACACAGCTAGTGTCTGAGGCCAGGTCTGAACTCATGAAGATGAGTTTTCCTGATTCCAAGCCCAGTGCTCTATTTACTGTGCCACCCAGTTGCCCTAACCTGTATCTTTTTTTTTTTAATTAGGCAATTGGGGTTAAGTGACTTGCCCAGAGTCACACAGCTAGTGAGTGTTATGTGTCTGAGGCCAGATTTGAACTAGGTACTCCTGAGTCCAGGGCCGGTGCTCTATCCACTACGCCACCTAGCTGCTCCCCTAACCTGTATCTTTACTGATCTGTTTTTCAGTAGGAAGAATCAAATTGGGTCTTTGAGTTACACAGAATTCACATTCAAGGCAAATGTATACAAAGCAGTGGGAATTCGGTCTAATGAGATCTATGCAGTGGTATGAATACTTGTACCTCCCCTTTCTATGTGTGTAGACTTGGTGTCATTTAGGTATGCTGGGACAGACATTCCAAGACCAAGGATGGGTCAGATACAGATAGTACATCTCACAATAGTACAATATTAAAAATATCCATAAAGTGCCCAGGGATTGTAAGTGCATTAACATTTAGTGACCATTAGCTGCAAAGCTATTGCTAGACCAAGCCTGCAACTAGACTATGGCTACAGATGTTGAACTTTCTTTGGCAATAGCAATTCAAGAAGACTGTCTATTCAGACTTTGGAGGTGCTGTACTCTGTGACAGTAGAGGGAGTGTGAACATCAGCAAAATGACCAGTCATCAGAAATACTTAAGAATTTTATCTTAAACCAGAACATTCATGGTATTTCTGGAAAGCATCATTTTCCTGTCCCAAATGCCCTTCTTTTAAATCTTTGCAGAAATATGTATGGTTATATGTATGTATGTATGTACATACACATGTATGTATATATAGTTAATTGAGATTTTGTTATATATATTTGTTCTATATTATCATAATTATTATTATTATTAGCCAGAATACCTCATTGCTTTATACCTGGTCATAGCTACAGTTAATTGAGATTTTGTTGCATGCAAGTGTATATATGCTAACACATAAGTATATGTCAACATATATTAACATATATAATGTATACATGTATATATACACATATGCATATGCATATATGTTTACATGTATAAATAAGCAAAATCTCAATTAACTATAACCAGTGGGGGGATGGGGTATTCTGGTTATTAATAATAACATTTATGTACCACTTAAAGGTCAACAAAGGACTTCCAAGCTCCTAGTAAAGCAGGAAACCCCTTTTGGTTTTAATCCTTGTTGAAAAATTATTAAGTATGGAAGAGCAAAAATAATCTTTGATTCTGCAGTATAATAAGGTGGTCCAGGGCCATTATTCTGAAACTCAATTATCACCTGACAATTCTGCTGATAAAGTATAAAAGGCTCAGGTGAATGTGCCCTGTAAGTTTACTTTTTTGGGGGAAAATGCCTCATATCAGTTCTTTTTTCTTAGAATTTGCCTCTTCCTAAAAACCAAGTGGAGAAAAAAATTCCAATTAAAGGTTTTAATTAGATGAGTTCTCATTTTTTAAGGTGTCTTGTCTGTATCTCACCCCTTCTCTTTAGTTTCCTTTCTTTCTTGTCATGAAGCTCTGCAGCCTTCCTTGATTGGATGGCTTAGGCTGGTACCAGAATGTCAGAATCAGAATCGAGCTATCCTAGAGCTGCTTAAAAAACACAGACTTGCCATTTTGGCTCCAAGAATTATCAGTCGTCATCTCCATCAGCAAAAATGGAAAGAGACAGTTGGAAGTTGTAATGGAGTTTCAAGCACCATTTCCTAACAACATACCAGATCTTGGGTGTCTCCACCAGACAGTGGGAAGAATAAACCCCCATGGAGAGAAATGTATCCTGAAGGAGGCTTGCGGTATCCCAGGGAGCTGAGGCAGAGGGATGGCATGCTCCTTTTTCATCTGGGATCAATCACTGCAACTTTACCCTTGCTGACAGTTTCCCTTTCAAGAGATTCAGCTGATTCAGGAATCCTGCTGACAACCACTAATGGTAAAGAGATTTAAAAAAAAATGCTTTCTTAAAAGGTTCACATCTCTGAGGTTCACCCTCAGAGATCCCATCTGGTGGCGTCTAATTGGATGAGGTCACCGTGTGGAATAGCAGTGGCAGTGCATAACAAAACAGAGAGATGATGGGCAGGGGCCACCACTCACTTTTTTTTGAGTGGGCCTATCCTTTTATTGGTATAGGGTACCTATAACAATGAGGATCAGCCCTTGCTCTATAACTTAGAGTTCTAGAGAATGGTATAGGAATATTGAGAAATTGTGACTTGTCTAGGGTCACAAAGCCAATACGTGTCAGAGTTAGGACTTGAGCCCAGGTCTTCCACATTCCCAGGCCAGATCTATATCCACTATATCTTGTTGTCTCTCTGTGAGCACTCACTATTAACTACAAACACCACTTTGGTATAAAACTCATAGTAGGCATGTGGCAAGAAATTGTGCTTATAATAAAGATCAGAAACTTTCTAAGAGTTATATCCAAAAATGTAAGATTATCTTCAAAAATTTAGCATCAATAGACAGGTCTTATAACATCCCCTCCCACTTCCACACACACATCTCAGACCCCAAACACCCATTAAGTATAAATAGTTTATTATTTTACTTTTGGTTAAATAATTCACCAAGATATTTATACTTTATATATTTAGGCTATTTAGAATTGATTGGATTTCTGCAGATAGTTATTCACATTATTTAGCCCCACATTTGGCTTTGGTACTCTTTCTAGACTTAGCTTCAATGGCAAACTCTTCCATGGATTTATTCCAATAGCTAGCTGGGAAAATTTAGTTCTTTGGGGGTTGGATGGGCCATTTGGCATAGTTCCAGGTTTCTGTAGAAATCTCGTATTCAAACAAAATGGTCCTGGCTGGGAGGCTTCACTATGAAAGTTTATATTACGTCAACATTGCCTGACTTAGAACTAAGAGGGGATATTTGCCTATAGAGTCCCAGAGCTAACTCTTAAAAGGCTGAGAAATAAATTAGCATTATAAAAACCCAGTTTCAATTTCAGTAATCAAAGATACTGTAAGTCAAGTCCTCTTCCCCTTAATTGTATGATTTTTACCATCCCCACAAAAACTTTCCAAAGGGGTCTAGTGACTGTTCATTTTGTTTTTCTTTTAACTTACCGCATTAACTGCCAACTAGCTGGCATTTGGGCAACTGTCATGTGAAAAACATCCTTGGTTTACTGAACCAGAGGAAAATTCTGCATGGCTATTAGTCAGAGAGAAGTGAACCATCTTCATCTCCCTTTAGTTTTTGTTTCTGGTACCTTTTGGAGTCTTTGTCATTTGCTACTGAATGTGGGTTATTAAGGGGTGTAAGCTGGTAGGCCATGGCATTCTTCATCACCTGAACCAGGGGTGGGGAACCTGCAGCCTCGAGGCTGTATGTGGCCCTCTCGGTCCTCAAGTGTGGCCCTTTGACTGAATCAAAAATTCACAGAACAAATCCCCTTAATAAGAGGATTTGTTCTACAAAACTTGGACTCATTCAAAAGCGTGCACCCAAGGACCCAGAAGGCCACATGTGGCCTCTAGGCTGTAGGTTCGCCAACCCTACAACCAGTCCCATAGTTGACCTACACATTTCTTCAGAATTATCAGTGGTTAACCCAGTCAGTATGGATACACATTGTGTATGTACATCATACATGGGTAGGGAGTAGTTGTAAGTGCTGTTTATCAATAGAAGCACTTAGAGATTGTACTGCTTCTCATTTTTATTATAAAATATAAGACATCCTGAAAAAGGGACTGATGGTTTTTCAGAATGTCTGATACCTATAAGAGAGTTGCATTAAGAATTTGCCTGTTGAACTCTGCCTTATTTTGTGTGTGTGTGTGTGTGTGTGTTAAGTGTGCTTGTGAGTATGCTTGTGTATAGAGGTAGGGAAAAGGACTGACCTCAGATTTTGATAGTATGAGTTCCTAGTGAGGAACTTCCTCTATCAGGATAGGTTGGCACCTTCTTTGTTACTTATAGTCCTAAAATGTTGCATTGGGTATTGAGAGGTCAAGTGATCTTGCCCAAGGTCACTCAGACAGCATGCCTCAGAGTCAGGACTTGAAATCACATCTTCCTGGCTTCATATCTACTGTGCTAGATTGCTTCCCATGCTCTGTCTCCCATATATGCCTAGTTATAGTTGACATTCATTTTTTCTTCATTTCCATTTGGCTATTTGCCATTTATTCAATGAAAGGATAACAGGTAGATATAAAAAAAAAAAGCTCCCAAGACAGTGGGTGAGTGTCCTGCCCCCTTACCTTCCTTTTTGGCCTGCCACGTGCAAATAGGCAGTAAACTGTAGCTAGTCCTGGCATAAAATGCAAGAGCTGCCTCACCCACTTTTGCCTCTGAACTTTCAAGGAAAGCCTACTGAATCTTTGTCAACCTCCATTTTAGCAGCCTGTATAATGGTCCCCGAAACTTTTCACTTACCCAATGGACCTTTTCCCCCCACAAATGGTGAACCAAGATGGGTCCAAGCATGTGTTAAAGCAAAAATATGCAAAGTTATGGAAAGAAGCAAATTTAATTAACAACTCCCATCGCTAGCACAGGATGGCTTCTGGAATTCAAGCTATTTGGTAATGTGAATTCAAGCTTAAAAAATGACCACAGACTGATATACTTGAAATTCTTAGGGAGGCACTATTCCTATAGCCTCTTCAGAGGGGCAAGGCTATTTACCCAAACTTTGTTGAGTTTCATATTAAGATGAGGGTTGTTTTGTTTTGTTCTACATGCTCCAATGGATTGAAATCATATGTGTCTTCTATTACAAGCAATAAGATTAATAGTTGGATGAGCATCTGAATTCATGAGGGTAAAAACCAACCAACCAAACAAACCAGCCAGTCTTGGATTAGCATCAAGAGATGCTGTACTCAATGACATGGAATCGTGCTGTTAAAAGCAATAATGGGGTTACTACCTATAAGTAAACATTTTCTCTTGAGGGAATTAGAGTGTTTTTAATCAGATGACAATGAAATCAAGTCCAAATGCCTGACGTGGGCTCAGAGTTTTTGCAGTTGTATGTCAGACAGATTTTGACAGTTTATGCCATAGCTTCCCATCAATTCATTAGTGTAGGGGACTCCTGGTGTGGAAACTGCCTCCACAGATGCAGAACGGCACCTAGTCTGCAACTTAGAGTCTTAGAGTTCCCCAGGGCACTGAGATGTTAAGTGACTTGCTCTTATGAGGTCATATAGCCTATATGTGTCTTGAACCCAGGTCTTGACTTTATCTTATATGCCACACTGCCTCTCCCTTTAGGATAATAGGTTCATTGGATAAATGCCTTGTCATGAAGGTGTCTATAGTATTTAGGAAGCATGGGCATCACTTTGAGCTTCTCACCCAACAAATTAACTGATTCCTTCCTACTTTCTCACTGCCAGCAAAGGCAAAAGTCTTCCCTTGGGAAAGACATTGGGGAAATTTATTTTAAAATGAAACGTGATCTATGTGGCAAGGGCCTCTGGGAAATGCACCAGAATGGGCGGTTAGTTGCTTATGAGACCCTTCTAAATAAAACCCACTATCACATAGGGAGACGTTTTGCAACCTCCTGAAAGGAGAAGAACTCAAATTACCAGGACAGGAGTCCCAAGACCAAATTTCTAAATAACACTGAAGATTGAAAAGTAGCCTCATTTGAAGCTTCTTCCAAACTTGAAGGGAATATTCCACAAACCATTGGCATTAGAGGGGCAAAGGCACTGGTGAGAATATATTCAGAAGATTCTACTTTTGTGGCCCCTCACAGCAAATCATTTCCAACCTACCAAACCCCGAGGTCCTGTTCGCAAGGCTGGAGTAGGCGTTCCCACTGGGTGAAGAAGTGGCTGGACTGGAGAGAGGACTGTAGGAGGATGGGTCAGCTGGGTAGGTGTGGCTGGTCCCGATCCCAAAAGGAGAAGACTGAGTCTTGCTGGACTGTGATGGGATTTGCTAAGCCACCCCACAAAGAAAACAAACCAAAAACATCACAAAGTTCTCCTTATTTTATACCTCCTGGTAGACCTACATCACTAGGGACTAGCAGGTGTAATGCAAGCGTTGATAGAGCAATGCTCCACAAATTCTGCCAACCTCAAACATTTTTGACATCCAGAGATCTGCACTTACTGCCACAGGCATTTAAGGAAAGAGACAGTTAATATCTAAACATTATCACTGCCCAGGCAGCAAAGGAGAATGAACGCTTTTTTGAGGCACCAGCTCAGATGGACAGAATCAATTTAATATCTAGCAAGGCAGTACAAAGGCTTCACCCAGCTAGTTGTAGAAGCAGACCCCTTTATTGTTCAGTGTCTCACTGGCTTCCTATTATTGCTACTTTGAAAGAAGAATGGTAACACTAGGACAATTCTTCATGGCCAAAGGAAGGTAAAGAAGCCATTTCAAAAAAATGGCTTGGGTAAATGCTTTAACATTATATTTACCTTGGTTGTGGTGACACTGGTGCTTTTTTTTCCCTACTAAGACCTCAAAACAGTTAATAATATAATTACTTACAGATCCTCACAGTCATCTAAGGGAGGAGGTGAAGACTTTTCAGTAAGAAAGATCAACTGGGCTAATTGGCCCTCACCTCATACTCCAGAGAGACAGCTATTTTTACATCTAGAAGGTACAGAGGACTAAACTGAGGGGCAGAGACTTGTTCACAGCATGCTAATGCTTCTGTAGTACTGACTTGTTTCTTTAAACTCTCCAAAATAGCCTAACATCAGAATAGCTGCTGAAGGTTAAAGCAGTAGCTGTCCTTAGGTACTGTAACAAAAAAAAAAAAAAAAAAATGATGGTGTTGAGAATCTACATACTGAATTGGAACTAATCTCCAAAAAGAGTATGGCAGGTAACCAGATGATGAAAAGTACTTAAATAAGGCCGTAAATTGTTGCCTTTAGTTTGAGAAAAGAAGTGATCGGATTAAAAGCATTCTATGTTCTGATTGGTTAACTCTGGATTTCATTAAAGGGAAAAATACAGATATCACGATCACTAATAATGCTAATCTAGCTGGCCAAGTTTCAAAGGGAGAGGGAATGAGTCAGACCATATTCAACCCTTAGGAACAATGTCAATTACAGAGAATACAGACTCTTGGCTGACCATACCAGTTTCCTTATGAATCACCATACCTGTCCAGGAAATGGCGGACGACTCCCAGTCCAGGCAACTTGACTCTGATTTATCTGACGAGAAATTTGCGTCATGTTTTGACCTGTTGAAGAAGAGGACTGGATATCATTGACCCCAGGTACATGAACTACCGAAGAGCTAGAAAGGAAGAAAATAAAACTCATGTGAGGGAAATATCATGACTAATAATAATGCCAGTAACATGATTTCAGAGCTATCAACTGACTAGTCCATTACACCATTCCCCAAGGTCTGATCACATCCAGAATCTGTTTTCTCTTTTTTTGGATCACAGAGTGCCAAGGGGGGAAGATGACACAAATTCTATCCTTACCCAACCCTTAAGTCACCTTGTTCCAAGCTTATCCATTACAGTGTGATCTTTTCGAGAACCTGAACTTCTCTTCCACTTTTCTTTGTATTAAGTGCCGGGCATATAGTAGGTACTTAATAAATGCTTGTTGACTTGATATGGCATCTTCAATTTCTCCTTTTCTACTGGTTTCCTCTCTAGATATATATTCTGGATAAAGCACTGGGCCTGGAGGCAGAAAGACCTGAGTTCAAATATGATGTTAGAACATAGCTGTGTGTCCATGGGCAAGTTATTTAACCTCTGTTTGCCTCAGTCTCCTCATTTGTGAAATGGGGATAATAATACCACCTACCTCTGAGTGTTTTTGTGAGGATCAAATGAGATAATAATTGTAGAGCACTTAGCACAGTGCCTAGCACATAGTAAATGCCATATAAATGTTAGCTATTATTATTAGGTATTATTAGCACCTACCCTTCAGAGTTATAGCAAGTATCAAATGAAATAATAATTGTAAAGCACTTAGCACAATGCCTGGCACACAGTAAGCACTACATATATGTCAGCTATTACTATAGGATTTCTCATATAACACATCCCATGTTTCATATCCCCATTTAGTGCTGGCTGTCCCCCATGATGGAAGGCACTATCTCCTCACTTTCTCCTCTGAGAATCTCTTATTTACTTTAAGACTAAGCTCTACCACCACCTTGATTTTTCCAAACACTTAGTTCTTTTGTTCCTGAAGTCACCCAATAAACATTTATTAAGCATTTACTGTGTACCAGGCACTGTGCAAAGCACTGGATTTATTTTGTGTATGTTCTAAATGTACTTATTTGTATACATGTTGTCTCTCTCTTTGAATTTAAGTTCTGTGAGGGCAGGGAATATTTCATTTTTGCCTTTGTATCCCAAGTACAGTGCTGGGTATATAGTAGTCACTTACAAATGCTTGTTGATTTCATTGATCGATTCATAATAAATGACATAATGAGCCAATGAGATAATATATATGAAATGCTTTGCAAAACAAAGTGCTAAATAAGTCAACTATTATTATGACTACTTAATAATAACCTACTTAATTGAATATTATAATTTTATTAATTGTGCTAAGGAATGCCTTCCAGACTATTTCTTAGGATCAATATTTATCTCTCTAAAGAGGGTGATGGTGTTGGAGTTAGATATTCTTTCCAGCTTTCTTGCTAAACATAAACATTTTTGCACTGATTATTTAAAAATGCTTCCTTCTGATAATAGTGTGAAGCATAATTCCAATATTCAAATTAGCTAATTCTGCATCAAATTTACTAAACCCCTTCCTATTCTTTCCTTCCACATTAAAAAAAAACAAAACAACAATGTAAATCTGACAGTATTGTCACATTATGTGACTGTTCTATTAAATGCAAGAAAGCCCAATGAAAAAAGATTCTCCAAACCATGACTCTGTGTGGTTGGGGCCTTTCAGTTTCACTCTCATTCATTTCTTCTTCCATCACCACAGGGAGGAGAACCAGTGCTGCCTTTTTCTTTTATGCAGGACAGAAAGATTAGCCATTTGCTAAAGGAAATGAGGAATGTCAAGAGTCCAGAGGAAGTTTCTCTTTGACCCAGTTCTGGTTTCTGGTTGCTCTATTGCAACATACCTAGTTCAGAAGAGACTCAGCCAAGAACAGACGTGCTCTGTATTATAGCAAAAGCATGTTTTCTCGGATATATAATGCTACCATGCATCTCTATAATTCTTTCATCTTTTTGAAGAATGCTTTCATATCTATTCTCTAGGATAATAGGCCTGTATTTCTAAGAGGCAATTGCAATGAAAGATAAAGGTTTAAAACCAGTCTTTCCCTTCAAACCAGGCTTTCTTCTATCTAGCCCTCCCTATTTCCGTCAAGGATACTACTCTTTTGCCAGGCAGTTAGACTGAACATTTTCTCTAACCTCCTCATTCTGTCAGTCATCAAGTCTCTTGGATGCTTATTTCACAATGATTTTTATAGTCACCCCTTCTTTTCCATTGCCATTACCAACATGACCCAATCTAGGCTTTCATCACCTCATTGATAACTGTCTCAAATCTCACTCCTAATACTACTTTTGTGACCTTGGGGAAATACCCAATCTCCCTCAACCTCAGTTGTTTCCTCCGTAAAATAAAAGGATTTGCTTAGATGGCCTCTGAGGTTTCTTCTAAAGCACAATTCTAATCATGTCACTCTCCTTCTTCCAGCTCTAGATTTATGTAAGATTTTATTTCTAATGGCTGCAACAGGGTGCCCACTCCTAGTCTAGAATGATAGACTGGATTCAGACAATGAAGGCTTTCAATGCCCTTCACCAAAAGAGGAGTTCGTATTTTATTCTATCAGTGGAAAGGAGCCACTGAAGTTTCTTGAGAAGGAGAGTGACATGATTAGAATTGTGCTTTAGAATGGAGACTATGCGGGCAGTGCAAAGGAGAGGTAATAACAGCCTGAGCACAATTAATGACCCTGTGAGTGGAAAGAAGGGAATAGATATGAGATATGGTGTGGAAATGGAATTGGCAAGACTTAGCCAACTGGACAGATGGAGTTGGGGTGAGAGAGGGAGGACAGTAAAAGCCAAGCATGACTCTAATGTAGCATATCTCAGCTCCTATAAGGATGGTGGTGCCCTTGATAGAAGCAGGAAAGTTAGGAACAATAGTTGGATTTTGGGGGGAAGATAATGAGCTATGTTTTGGATATATTGAGTGGCCAATAGAACATTTAGATGGAGAAATCTAGCAGGTGGTTGGTTAAGTGGGTCTGGAGCTCAGGAGAGAGATGGAGGTTAGATATGGAGATGTAGGAGACATTTGCATAGAATGAAATGAAATTTGGAAGCTGGTGAAATTACTGAGAGAATAGACAGAGGACAGAAAAATGTCACGGATAGACTCCTGAGATATACCCATGGATAGGGAGTGGGACAGGGATGATGATCCAGAAAAGGAGACTGAGGATAGCTAGGAGAACCAAGAGAGAGAAATGTCACAAAAACCCATGGAGGAAGAGTATCTGGGAATGGTGGTTAGTCAAAGGGTCAAACTCTTTAGAATGATTTAGAAAGCTGGTGACCAAGAAAAGGTCATTGGATTTGGCAAGTAAGGGATCACTGGTAACCTTGAAGAAAGCAGTTTTAGTTCAGTGGTAGGTTTAGAAGACAGATTGTGAGTAAGATGTTACCTTGCATTTTTTATTCATCTCTTTTGGTGCATGTTTTATTTCTTTAATTAGTGTGTAAGCTCCCAGAGATCAGTGATCCTGCTTTGTAGTCCACTGAGCAGTGAATTGCAGGTTCTTAATAAATATTTGTTGATGATAAAGAAGGTGCAATAATAAGTGAGCTGGAGACCTTCAGGGGAAGTTGGAGATGCATGTTAACACCTGTAATTTCATAAGGTTTACCCACAGGATTTCTGGTTTTGTCCCTCTCCAAGGTCATGGATTCTGCCAAAAGATGGCACTAATTACAGTCTTGAATGGTATCAAACTATGGAATACACAGAAGCATATAATTAGCTGCAAAACAAGGCCTAATATTGACCTCCTTGCATCATTATCCAGAGTAGTTGATGGCTCAGCCTCTTTGCAAACTGCTTTCAGTCAGAAGGAAAAAGATTCAGTAATACCAAACACCTAGGTGGCTCAGTGGATAGAGTGCCAGGTCTAAAGTCAAGAAGACTCATCTTCCTGAGCTCAAATCTGGCCTCAGACACTTACTAGCTATGGAACCCTATGCAAGTCACTGCTTGCCTCAGTTACTTAGCTGTAAAATGAGCTGGAGAAGGAAATGGCAAACCATTCCAATATCTCTGCCAAGAAAACCCCAAATAGGGTCATGGAGAGTCAGACATGACTGAAATGACTGAACAACAAAGCAAAACACCAAATATCTACAAGTAAATCACTAATTACCACATCCCTGTTGGCATTCAAACATCAGAAATACAGGCATTAATAAAAAAAAGAGCAAGCAAACATAAAACCCACCTCAAGAAGAAGTCACTTGCTGTCCCTCTGGGCCAGTTAGCAAGCCTGGCCAAATTTATAAGAAAAAATGGGCTTCTGACCCAAAGCCCTGCTCTTCCTCTTACCTGAATGCCTTTCCTGAGTGTCCTGGCTGGAACGGGCTTCCTTGTGAGTAAAGCTGCTGGTTCCCAGCTGCTGAGGCAGAAGCCATCATTTTTTTCTCCGCTAGGAAAACCAGGGAAGACTATTACCGGAGAGCAATGAAATGAGCCCTTGCCTGGTATGTAAGGAAGCTCCTCAGAGCTGAGGATGGAGATGGACTGATAGCAGATGTCACTATCAAGAATATACAGGATGTACTTAGCCTGAGAGGTGACCATCTTCACGTGATGCTGTCTCTGCTTTTTAGGATGTGGCCATGCAAGATCTTCCTCCCCTTCTTCCAGCTGCTCCCTGACTCCTGTATCTCAGGGGTGCCATCGCTCTTTACACTCCTATGCACAATTCTGTTATTGAGTGTGTGTTCTACTTCCTAAGACAGACTAGACAATCCCCATAAGAGGGATAGTACCCTCTGTCTTCATTCACAGCATTTAGTACAGGGCTTTGCACTCTGCAGGCACTCGACCAGTGGTAGAGACGGGAAGAGTTGATCTGAGGGTACCATAACTGAGGACTGTCTCAATCTGTTGCTTTTTTGTCTTTACATCCTACTTCCCTTCATTACATATGATCACAGGTACATAGATTTAGAACTAGAAACAGCATTCAAGGTCACCTTGTTCGATCCCTTCATTTAACAGATCAGGAAACTGATGCATAGCGAGGTGACTTGACTTTGCCCAAGGTGACACAGTGCCTTGGATTTGAATCTAGTTCCCATGACTAAAAATCTGGCATGTACTATTCAATCTCCACCAAAGTCCTAACCCAATGCCTCACTATGGCATGAAAGTGGGTTTTACTATTATTTTTTTTAAGTCTATGGCATTGTAGTATGAGGTCCCACTAGACAGGAAAGGTTTTGTTTTGGGGCCAGCACTGAATAATGAGGGAGGACCAGCACAGTTAAGTTTGGAAAGGCTCATCACCAGACTGGCCACAGCAGGATGATTTTTTTTCCCCACTAAAGAAACTGTTATAGGTCACAGTTCAGTGTTAGGTATTCAGTTGTTTCTGACTCTTCATGACCCCATTTGGGTTTTCTTGGCAAAGACACTGGAGTAGTTTCCCATTTCCTTCTCCAACACATTTTACAGATGAGGAAACTGAGGCAAACAGGGTTAAGTGACTTGCCCAGGGTCACACAGCTAGTAAGTGTCTAAGGCCAGATTTGAACTCAGGAAGATGAGTTTTTCTGACTCCAGGCCTGGTGCTCTATCCACTGTGCCACCTAGCTGCCACTCAGTGTTAGAGAATTCCTGCATAGATGAAATAATCCTACATATAGGTACATAATCAAATCTGCCCAGAGAAAGGAAAAGAAATATAAGGATAAGGATCATTAATAGTTTTATTTAAATGCAGCAACAACCTTATATAGAAAAGGGAGGTTCTTGACAGTCTCAACTGAAACAAGAACCAAGGAAAATTTGCCTATTGTAGGGGCAGGGATTTAAATTAGTTGTAAGGAAAAAAATTGAGAAAAAAGCCAAATGTCATGATGAGAAAAGCAGGGCAAACACGGTGCTATTTTATTCCCCCCTTCTTACTACTGAGTGGTTTGGTATATCTGTGGATGATGGTGTTTCAACATCAGGTCCATATCTCAAACCCTAAGGTATTTCTAGAAACTGAGTCTCCCTAGATGGTCCCATGGATCATGAAGCACAGTGGCTCCAGATGCCTCGGGGGACCTCGGCTCACTCTTGTGCTTGCTGTTCCAAGAATGAGTTTGCTTTGGGATGTCCCTGAAGTTTGAATGTTATCACTGCTACTTACCACCTGGGTAGCATTGGCCAAATCACTTAACCTCTGTGGTTCTACATTTCTCCATGTAGAAAATGAGGAGGCTTAACTAAATGATCTCTTAGGCCCCTCCTGGCTCTCAATTCTAGGGTACTAAATTCTGGTGGGGTAGGGATGGCACAGTGGATAGTGTTGGGCCTGAAGTCAGGAAGACCTGAGTTCAAATCTGGACTCAGATACTTACTAGCTGTGTGACCCTGTGCAAGTCGCTTCACTCTGTTTGCCTCAGTTTCCTCATCTGTAAAATGAACTGGAGAAGGAAACGCCAAAATCACTCCAGGATCTTTGCCAAGAAAATCCCAAATGGGTTCACAAAGAGTGAGACAGGATTGAAATGACTGGATAGGGATTTTGGCTCTCCCTTCAGAACAGTTGAGAGCACTTCTTTGGACCTCTTAATTCTCATTTCTAAATCTCTGACTGATCCAAACCCAGAAAAAACTTTCTCCGCCTCAAATCTCAGGTAGCTATGGCCCATGCGGACAATCCCTCAGGTCTATGTGTCATGAATAAGCAATAGTGGACCTCTGTGATTCCATGCTGAGCTATCAGTGGAGGCTAGAGAGTAACTTTCCTAGAAAATGTTACAAGCCAGATGGACAGCTAACAAAGCCAGATGGGTTAGATATAATCGTTTAGGTTGCAGCCTCTAAGAGGGCTGGATCACCTCTTTCATTTCTTCTTGGTATCCCCAGTACCTACCACATAATAGAAGCTTAATACATGTTTATTGAATTGTTGTTGAAACAGAGGACTGGATAAATTGACCTATATGGCTCAGTGAATAGCATTCTGGACCTGAAGTCAGGAAGACCTGAGTTCAAATCCAGCCTTAGATACTTACTAGCTGTGCGACCTTGGGTAAGTCACTTCACTTAATGCCTTCTTCAGTTTCTTCATCTGTAAAATGGGGATAATAAAAGCATCTACCTCCCAGGGTTGTTGTGGGGATCAAATGAGATAGTTATAAAGTGCTTTGTAACCCCTAAAGTGTTATAAATAATTGCTACTTATTTTTCTAGCATTATAATTTGATAATTCCACTTAATATGGCACTTAATATCAATATGTAATCCTTAACAAATACAACTTGGTTTTATCCTTTGAGAATTTAGTTTGTGAGAATAAAAGACCTGAAACTCTGGGTGCAATAACAGTAAATCCATATTTATAAAGTGCTTTAAGAGTTTTCCTAAGGGCAGCTAGGTGGCGCAGTGGATAGAGCACCGGCCCTGGATTCAGGAGGACCTGAATTCAAATCCGGCCTCAGACACATAACATTAGCTGTGTGACTCTGGACAAGTCACTTAACCCCATTGCCTAGCCAAAAAAAAAAAAGGAGTTTTCCTAAGAACAACTCCTTGAGGTGGGTACTGCATATATTATCCTCATTTTACAGATTAGGAAAGGTGAGGCTCAGAAAGGTTAAATGACTTTTGGTCAGTTCAAATTAGTGAAGAATTGGCCCTTGAATCTGGTTCTTCTAATTCCAGGGTCATTGCAAAAGAAAAAAAAGTGTCTGAAGATCAAATAGATACATTTTCACATATTAGTAGAAATGCCAAGGCCTCATTTCTCCTATTTCCCATCCAAAAAACTTTGCATATTGGGGCTCTCTGGTCTTAAACTCTCCAATTTACCTGGAATCACTTGGGAAAGTCACTTAACCTCTCTCTGTGTGCCTCAGTTTCTTCATTTGTAAAATGAGGGGTTGAACTACGGTCCTTTTTACTTCTAAATCTCTACTATTATCTAGAGCTAAAAAAGATTTCAGAGATTGTGAAGTTCAACACCTCACTTTTACAAATAAGTTATAACCTCTGAGCTTCAGTTTTCTCATCTGTAAAATGAAGATAATAATAGCATTTATCTCATAGAGTTGCTGTGAAGATGAGATAACATGTAAAGCACTTTGAAAACCTTAAATGTGCTATATGTACATTTATATATCTTTATGCTAAAAGATAAATGTTTTACTACTACTACTATGACCACTACTACTACTGCAACTACTACTACTTCTAGTTAACATTTATATAGGACCTACTATGTGCCAGGCACTATGCTAAGCACTTTATAAATATTCTTCTACTACTACTACTACTACTACTACTACTACTACTACTACTACTACTA